CCGCCTGCCTGCTGGCTGGGTCGGGGGGGCCCGGATTGACTCCAGTGAAGCCTGTCCCTGCAGGTTGATGCTGGTGGAGGAGGAGCTGCGCAGGGATCACTCGGCCGCCCTCGACGCCTCCGAACCGCGGAAGCGGCTGCTCGACGCTCAGGTGGAAATTACAATGTCATTGTTCTTTTCTGTGTCTTCATGGTCTCATTCCACCCCTTCCTTCCACCCCTTCCTGCCCGACTCCCCCACCCAACCTGGTCCTCGTCTCTGCCCGCCTGCCCTTTGGTCTGGGCCTGCGCCCCCCCACCCCACCCCTGCAGCTGCGTGCACGCTTTTTTGGGGGTCCACCTGTCCAGCCTGTCCCATCTGTCTGTCTGTGCTTCTGCCTGTCTGTGCTTCTGGCTGCCCTCCGTGTGTGGGGCCGGGCCCTGGGAGGGGGAGAGAGAGAGAGAGAGGCCGGAGGAAGCCAGGCTGAAGGGGGTCTCACCCCACAAGGAGGCAGCCGTCAGCAAGGAAGGGCTGCTGTGGGGCTGGGGGCAAGCCGTGCATGGGGCCTGAGAGCCCCACTCCAGAGGCACAGAGGAGAGGGCCGTCCGGGCCCTGCGAGTGGACAGGACCCTCCCGCGTGGGAAAGGAAATTCATCCCTGTGGGGTGGGCCCATAACCCAGAGGAGACGTATCCTGAGCAGAGTAAGGCCCCTTTGCACCCCACCCTGGAGAGGGGCTGACCCCCATCCACCCCCATCTGGCCTGGGTTTCATTCCCCCCCCCCGACTCTTCTCCAGCAAGTAACCCCTCCTCATGCCGGAGAGAGATGGCTTGTCCCTGGGAGGAAGACCTCTCCCAACACTCCCCCCCCCAGTAAATCCCAGCCATTCTCCCCACCTCCACCCATCATCATCCCCTTGCTAGACAACGGGGGGGGGGGCCCTGCAGGAAAACAAAGGTGGGATCTCCAGAGGGAGCCAGGAGAGCTCTTTGGGGTGAGGGGGAATCAAGCTTGACCTGCTGCTGAGTCAGCTGCACGTGGGGGGTGGGGGTGGGGAGCGAGAGGGAGTGCTCCCCCCACTGCTCTTTGGCTTGGAGTTGTTGGGTGAGGGGGGGCAGATGGCAAGGCAGGGAATGGTCAGCCCCACCCCACCCCAAAGGCTTGGCATACCTGCCCATTCACCTCCCTGGCATTGCAAGGAGACATGGCGGGGGGTGGGCTGAGCGTTGCTGCTGCTGTTCCCCCCCAACACACGCGCACATACACACACATGGCC